AAGGGGTCTTTAAAGCCTCTCCCACTCTTTCCAATGGGCAAGCCTGTCGTTCCTTTCAGTACATCCCTATGCAGGCCGGACTTTTGGTAGGAACTAAATCGCTAGGTCATTGTTGTCGCAGTTAATAGAGTCCCCCTGAGAAGACGGCAACAGCAACCATCTAGACATACCATAACTATGCAATTACGAAAAATGGCATTCGGAAATGTGGACGTGCGTTTGATTTACGAGCAGTAGCCTGGAGTGAGGAATACTGGCGTTTGAAAGGACGACAACGTGGGATTTTTCTTCCGGGATTGATCAGGTTCTGCCAGCCAGTCTCCGGTTGACAAGCTTTATAAAATGATCCAGCCTCCATAATAACCAGCTATCTGATAATCCCAAAGTTTACTGTGAAGATAAATTTGTAAGATGTCCACGGCAGCAGAGGAAAAAGAGCTTCAGGAGAGGCTGAGGGAAGCTGCTGCTTTGGGGGATATTGAAGAAGTTCAGCGATTGGTGGAATTTGGCGTGAATGTTAACTCTCAAAATGAAATCAATGGCTGGTAAGCACTGAACCAGTGAATTACATCGATGGTGTCTGCTTTGGGGTGGATTTGTTTGGTTTATTAAAAGTGAGACATAAAAAGTATTTTTATTCCTGCTAGCAATGCCTTAAAATGATTAAAAGTGAATTAATTAATGATATTTTAAACTTTTTTTTTGTTATTTGTGATGCTATTGAAGAAATGGAATTCTCTACCACTTTTCTGTTGGTTCAGAAGCCAGGCAGCATCTGTTTAAGCATTCTTTGAACTTTGGTAAGGTTGGGTTAAAACAGATGCCTTATTTTTTATTCTTTCACAGCTGTGGGAAATCAGTGTGATCAGACAAAGTTTTAATGATGATTTTCAGTTTTTATATAAAAATGTTTGCTTCATTCATTTTAATAAGATTGAAATAAACTGAGATTTGCATGTGGTACAAAAAACATTTTGAGACTTTTTTGTTCAAAGCAGAAGGGTTTTACAAAGCTGTGCATCTGTGTCATTAAACCTGGGCAACTTGTTGGCTGCTGTGTGAAACAGGATGCTGGACTAAATGGACCACCGGTCTGATCCAGCAGGTCTCTTCTTATGTTTTGCAAGTTGAAGATAAAATTAACTGTTGACATAGCACATTTTGAGAAAAAAGAAGAAGAAAATCTTAACTATACATAAATGTTAGGTTACAATTAACTCTGATTTCTCACAATCTTTGAATGGGCATCTCAGTAAACTATCACCAATCTCGGAGTCAATGTTGTACACTAAATTAATTGGAAAATACAAGAAAAAGCATAACACTATTTAGATTATTCATATTCCTGTGAGCATTTCATTAAGGCTAGGCTAGAGTTGCAATAGACTCAAGCCCAACTAGGCATGTCTTTACAAAACAGAATATTTTTAATAATGGAAAGATTTTTATGTATGATTATTCCCAGTGTATATTTTATTTAGTTTGTTTATACCCTACTTTTCTCCCCTATGGGAACCCAAAGCCATTCTTCTCTCCTCCATTTTATCCTCATAACATATATGTGAGGTAGATGAAGCTGTGTGTGTGACTAGACCAAGGCCACTCAGAAAGCTTCCGTGACAGAGTGGGGATTCAAACCTGGGTCTGTCGAATCCTAGACCAGCTGTTTAAGCACTGCACCACACTGGCTCTCAAACACACTATCTCTTAATAGCCAAATTATTTTTTTTTTAAAGAAGACCAGAGAAGATTCATTTTTTAATTTTTCAAAATGTATACCCTGTATTTCTGCCACCAAGCAGGCTGACAGATTAAAACGTACATAATTAAAAATATATATTTAAAACGAACAGGAAATACATCATTATAACAATTAAAATCAGAGATAAAATATATACAAAAACATGAAAACAACAATTAAAGCCCTAGGCAGGAAAGAGGGATCGGAAGGAACACCAAACAAACAAAAAAGTTTGTGCCCACTGGCAGAATATGGCAAAAGAAGGGGACAGATGAGTCTCTCTTTAGGGAGGGAGTTCCAGAGTTTTGGTGTGATGACTGAGAATGCCCTCTCTTGGATTTCCACCTGCCTAACCGCAAAGGGTAAGGCTCCCAAAGTTGGGCTTTGGAAGATGACTGTAGTGGTCAGGGAGTAGGTAGTCCTTCAGGTATGTTGGGCCAAAACCATATGGGGCTTTAAAGGTCAACACCTTGAATTGTACCTAGAAAAAGATCGGGAGCTACTGAAAGATGGGCCCAGACTGGAATGACATGGTCTCTACAGCCCGCACCAGCCATAATCCTGGCTGCAGCATTCTATGCTAGCTGAAGCTTCCGAACACTTTTCAAAGGCAGCCCTACATAGGCTGTATTGCAGTAATCTAATCTAGATGTAACCAGTGGCCAGATCTTCTCTGACCAGGAAAGACTGCAGCTGGATAACTAGTCAAAGCTGGTAAAAAGTACTCTTGGCCACAGCTGCCACTTGCTTATCCAGCAGTTGGCCTGAGTCCACGACTACCCCCAGAATATGGACCTGTTCCTTCAAGGAGAGTATAAACCCATCCAGAACAGGCTACACCTTAAGTTTCAGGTCAGACCTTCCACTCACCGGTAGCACTTCTGTCTTGTTGGGATTAAGCATACATTTATTAGCTCTCATTCACGCCAAACCTTGTCTTTATCAACTATTTTACCTGTTGTGCATCCAGTATCAAATGCATCTTTCACACTTGTACTAGTGGGAAAGAGTAAATGTATTTGTCAAACTAAGTTCATTAATTAATTTTATTAATCACTAGTGAAATTAGTGACACAGTTATGCTTCATCTAACAGATGCTTGGAGGTACTGGTCTAATGAACTTTTAAGCACAACGATTTTGCAAGATGAAATAATGGTGTTGCCTGCCCGCATAGAAAGATTTTGCCACTAGGTGTCACTATAGTCATCTGTAAATATAGACATAAGAAAATACAGCAATTGCTGGGTTTAATGGGGGTTATCACCATCCTTTATTGAAGCAATCATAAGTTGGCTTCTACCTGTTCCTCATTTCAAGAAATTATTCCTTATTTATTTGTTGCAGAAATACTCATGGAAAATAAGAGATGCACCCTAACTGCATAAAGCGCCTTTCATATGTGACGAGGATAGCAGAGTCTAACAAATTGCCGTTAATGTCAACTACACATGTAGTACATTATTTTCTTATAGTCTCATGGCGCACTCCTTATTTTGGCACTGGCAGCCCTACTAATAGGTAGAATTTAAACTGTACAGAATGATTTGACTTTGGCTGTTATGTTTGTCACGTGCAGGACTTGTTTGCATTGGGCCTCCAAACGGAACCATGCTGAAGTGGTATCATACCTTCTCAGTGCTGGAGCTGATAAGGAAATCCTCACAGTTAAAGAAGAAAGACCAGCCCAGTTGACATCCAAGAGGGAAATCAGGAAGATGCTGGGAGGTAAATTGATTAGTTAATTCTTACATCAGGCAAGGGCATTGGAATGCTGATGGTCCTGTCCCTGGTAGAGCCCATATAGTGATTCACAAAAGAAGAGGCTCTTGCAGTTTTCTTCTGCAAGCTGTCTTGTCTTGGATAGCTCTGCAATGAGGAAGTTAGGAAGCATCAGAAAAAGGGTTGCTAGATTTTAATGTGTTAAGAATGTTAATCTCATATTAGCCTAAGGGGGAAGAAGAGAAGAAGAAGAGAAGAGATTTGATTTATACCCCGCCCTTCACTACCCAAAGGTGTCTCAGAGCGGCTTACAAACTCCTTTTCCTTCCCCTCCCCACAACAGACACCCTGTGAGGTGGGTGGGGCTGAGAGAACTCTGACACAAACTGCTCTTTTTCAAGGACAGCTGTGCCAGAGCTTGTGACCCTCCCAAGGTCACATCAGCAGGTGCAAGTGGAGGAGTGGGGAATCAAACCCGGTTCTCCCAAATAAGAGTCCCGCACAGTTAACCACTACACCAAACTGGCTCTGTGTACTTGTTTTGTTGTAATGTGTAAATTAATATGTGCTGTGTATAAGGGAATGTCTAACTTTTTACTACCATTGCCAAAAGACTATATATTAATTTTCTGATCAACCAAAATCCCTGACCTGGATAGCCCAGGCTAGCCCAATCTCGTCAGATCTTGGAAGCTATGCAGAATCAGCCCTGGTCAGCATTTGACTGAGAAACCACCAAAGAAGTTTAGGGTCGCTGTGCAGAGGAAGGCAAGGGCAAACTGCCTCTGAACGTCTGTAGTCTTGGAAACCCCGTGGGGCTGCCATAAGTCGGCTGCGATTTGATGGCAAAAAAGAAGGAAAAAAGAAGCCAAAAATGCAAAATTGTACTACCACCCAAAACAATTGGACTACATTTGTATATGTAAACCTTCTTTTCATCAAATAATCTTACAGGTACTTCATTTGTCAAATATACAATACTATGCAGACTAGTGCAGATAAAGACACAATGAATACACAAAGCAGTACAGGTTTCAGAATCCATTAGTCTCCTGTTTTAAGTTTCTCCAGTCTCAGACGTCATGTAAACCTAGAAAAAGGTCATTTCAGTTTTTTCCATAAAGAGAAGTTCCAACTGCTCAGCTGCAGTGTAAATTTTAGAAAGACCTGTGCCTAAGCAAAATTATGCACGCACTTTAATCTTGAAGTTGTCCTAGAGTTTCCAGTTAATTAAAGCTTGTTATCTTCTTCATTGATTTTACAACTGTATTTTCTAAAGTTTCTAGAACCTTCAAGACAAGCTGAGAAATTTGAGGTTGGTAGTGGCTCAGCCATGAAGCTTCTGCTCTGCATGTAGAAGTTTCCAGGTTCAACCCTGGCATCTCCACTTAAAAGGATCAGGTAGTAGGTGAGAGACTTCAGGCTCTGAGAACCTGGAGACCCACTGCCAGTCACAATAAATGCAGCTTTTGATTAACCAGAGGTCTGACTTGGTTCAGGTATGGTCACAGGTGTCCTGTTTTATTGACAAATAAAGTGTTACCTTGTGGGCAGGGTGGTTCTGAGTTGTGCCTGTGCTGTGGCGGATGGCTATGGCACAGCTGCGGTGGCACTAGTCGCCCCCCTCAGGGGATAGGTACACAGTGGCTGAATGGAATAAAAGGAGCCTCAGCAATGTCGTGGTGGCATTTGTGGTGATGATGCCACTGTGTTCACTTCCAGTATTGTTGTGAGGCAGGGGCAGCATGAAAGGCAGGGCAGGCAGGACCCATGGGAGCCATGGGTCCAGGAGGCTTAGCCAAGTGTCTGTCCCTGGCAGGCAGGCCACAGGAGAGACACTCCTTCTCTGCTGCACAAACACCCTTAAAGAGACCAGCCCTGGACACATGTCACTGGAGAAGGGGCATCACCTGTTAGCCCCACAAGCACCCCACGGTGGTACTCCACACACAGCACACAAATGACTGCCCACGCCATCAAGGGCATCCCTGTGCCAACCTACATGCCACCCCCACTGGAGTCACAGCAGGAGGGGTGGGGAGTGCCAGGGCCCCCGGGAGGGACTCTGAGAGGTCCCCAAGAAGCCTCTTGATGCACTTATTTCTCTCACCCACGTCCCTCACGATGGCAAGAAGCCCTTCCAGGTGCCCCACAGCCGCCCTTACAGTTGCTGCCGGCCCCTCCATCCATTGCTGCCCCCCACAAAGGCTTTGTGCCACTCACAAGAGCGCTCCAGCTGCTCCCACTCGATTGCCACCCACATGGGATTGGCTGTGCCAGATGCGGGCCCTGTGTCTGGGGACCAGGCAAGGGGCCTGGATTCCCTCCTTCCTCCAGGCCACCAGCAGCCATGACACCTGGGCCAGGGGCACCTGCCCTGCCCTTGCACACTGTCCACCAGGGCAGGGCTACTGGCATCCGAAGACAACGAGTCTGCCCTTTGCATTGCGGCTGAAGGAATCATTCCAGTGCTTCAGGGTGGACATCTCTGTCCGAATGACATGTCCCAGGGCAGACACCTATTCCTCGGCCATGCACCAGAAGGCTTGGCCACAGGAGGTGGCAGAGCTGCTCTTGGCAGTGGCAAGGGCAACACAAGCATGCTCTACCACCAACCTGTATAGCAGTGTCTTCTCGGCCTCAATCCAGTTTGGCTGGCGATGGCTGTCCCCACCACCAGATGTTCCAGTGGCCATGGCACCTACATACAGGGGAATTTTGAGGCGGGTCGTCCCACCATGGGAACATGCCAAGCCCTCCACCCTGCCCTGCTGCCCATGCCCATGCCATGGCCATCACTTGCCAGGAGGTGGCTGTGGGCAGGGGCAATCAGGCGCTCACAGAGGGGGTAGAGAGTGTCCTGTGGTTTTGCTGTCAGTGCCTGGTAGCTGAGGGTGCCTGGCAGCCGGTGCTATGTGCTGTTCAAGCCCTTCATTTACATACACAAATATCCCTGGGGAAGCTGGGATCCAGACAGGCCAAGAAGAAGACGAAGAAGAGATTGGATTTATACCCCGCCCTTCACTTGGAGTCTCAGAGCGTCTTACAAACTCCTTTCCCTTCCCCTCCCCACAACAGACACCCTGCGAGGTGGGTGGGGCTGAGAGAACTCTGACACAAACTGCTTTTTCAGGAACAGCTGTGCCAGAGCTTGTGACTGACCCAAGGTCACATCAGCAGGTGCAAGTGGAGGAGTGGGGAATCAAACCCGGTTCTCCCAGATTAGAGTCCGCACACTTAACCACTACACCAAACTGGCTCTCTGGAGGCCAAGCGGGCCTCCAGAGGGGACTGCCCTCTGAAACTGACCATCTCTGCCCAGCAGCATGGAATGCTGCCCACCCAGCCTCAGTGATGTGACAGACCCTTATGCCAACAGTGTAATTTGCATAACGGTTCCTGGATCAGCTCATGCTGGCCCCAGGGACCATAGCCAGGGCCAATCCATGAAGGAGTGCCCATGGCATTTGCGTATGTGTTCACTGCTGTGGCAGGACGTCTTCCTCCAGGGTGCACCCCAGCTGATCCTACGTTAACGTGGCCCTGCAGTTTCTGGGTGTGCGGTCTGTGCTTTTAGCTAGGGGAATGGCCGCTTGTCGCATAGTCTTTCCCTTCCACCCATCTGTGTCCATTGCTGCGGCCACAGTATTGTCAGGATTGTGTTGTGTCTGCGAGGATTGTGTGTCTTGCGCAGCACCCCCCATGTGCTCCCACCTCCCATAGTCCATAACAAGCACCAACACCTGGGACGCACACAATGGATGAGCTTTATTGGAGGGGACCAAGACAGGGATTACGGTGTTGACATGCGGAACCCCCCTCGGTCCTTTGGTGCTAGGGGCACCTTCCCGATGGGTGTAGGAAGAGAAGGGCCTGCTTCTGTTGTTGCAGAGAGGACACATGGTGGGTCTTGCTTTGATAGAGGTAGTGATGTCTGTCCCGGTTGGATTGGCACCTGTGCACGGGGAAAATACACGGTGGAGCAGCTGGCAGCATTCCTTGTTGGCACCTTGTCAGGCATTCGGTCAATGAGGACACCCCGTCTGGCACTCCGATGCCACAAGGGGGGGACCCCCCCCGGGTGGCAGAATCCAGACCACACTTCATTCAGCGTTCTGTCAGAATCACTGTGTACCTGGAGATGCGCCTTGTCAGCAGTGTCAGGGCATTCTGCACCTGCAAGGGCAGGATTAGGCCATCACGTGGGATCACTTGGCACTCAGGTGGGAGGGGATTCCCAGGTGCTTGAAGCGTTTGTTGCAAGGGGGGCACTGCCGGCTGGTGCAACACGCAGCCTTGGGCACCCGGCACCACCTTTGGTCCCTTCCTCTGGCAGCTGCGTCAGGCAGCCCCCGATGCACTGAATGGCCTGGTCCGTGTGTGTCTTGGGGGGGGGGCACACTCCTGCCCAATGCGCCCTCTAAGCTGTGGAGTCTTGTGAGCAAAAGTTCTACTCTGTGAGCTACTGGCATTAAAGCTGTGAGCGAGTGATTTGGCTACTGCATAATTTAGTTTGCTCTGGAGCCATCGTTCCTGAGTGAAGACAAAAATGTGTGAGCCGGAAGCTAAAAACCTGTGAGCTGGCTTGCACTAACTCAGTTGAGAGGGAACACTGCTCCTGCCCCCCCCCCAGGTGCTGGGTTCAGGAGCAGGAGATGCTGTGTTCAGTGCAGCTTCGTTCCAGTGTTGTTGGCCAAGAGGAGGAATGGGGGTTGGGAAAGGGGTGCCTTGTTTACGTGTTCCTGCGTGGCTGACCCTTAGGATCCCAGCGGACAAGCTGCTGTACTTGTGGGGCCTGAGATCTGGGAGAGCTCAGCCACAGAGTGTGGACTTTGCTCTCCTGGTGGTGCATTCCCCCCAAGTGCTTGCCCGGCAGTGCTAGGTGCCTGCCTATGTTTTGCCCACCCTTGAGTTGCGTGTGTGTTAGCTCTAAGTCTGCATAGCAGGGAGCTATCGGACAGCATTCCATGCCATGCACCCTCCCTCTGGAGTTGTGGGGCAACCTCCTGGAACCATTTGTAGGGTGGGGTGGGCCATCATTGGGGACTGGGGAAAGGCAGTGCTGGCATGGGCTGGTTGGGTGCACACTTGGCATTCTGAGCTGCTTGGGTTCCCAAGTTACTATGGCTGCCGATTGGCTATGCCTGTCCTGGGGGGCGTTCCCATGGTGAAACTGCTTTGGGAGCCAAATAGTTGGTGACACACACCCTGGCACGCCCACATTTCTGCTGGCATGGGTTTGTGCCATCACTCCACCAGCATGTGGCTGAAGTGCACTGTGCTGTGCTGTGCTGCTCATGCCCTGTGCCAGCATAAATGCCCCTTAAAAAGGCAAAGGTTCCCTTGCTCGAAAGCTAGTCGAATCCGACTCTAGGGTTGCGGTGCTCATCTTCGTTTCAAAGCCGAAGAGCCAGTGCTGTCCGAAGATGTTTCCGTGGTCATGTGGCCGGCGTGGCTAAACACCAAGGTGCACGGAACGTTGTTACCTTCCCACCGAAGTGGTACCTATTTATCTACTTGCAATTTCTTGGTTTCGAACTGCTAGGTTGGCAGGAGCTGGAACTAGAGACAGGAGCTCACTCCGTCATGCGGCACACTCGGGTCTCGAACTGCTGAACTACCGACCTTCCACAGCCTGCAGTTCAGCGTCTTAACCACTTGAGCCACCGCAGCTCCAAATGCCCCTTACATGTGCATAAATCTGAGTTACACCAGCGTAGGAGTCAGTAGGCTGCCTATTCCCATCCCCCACCCCCCACGGATTGCTCTGTAAAAGTTGTAACCTGAGGGATAACATCCTTCATAGTTTCTCTAAGTTAAAAGAGGACTCCTAGGAACATAAACTCCATAAATAGGATTTTGAGTTGTAAAGGGCCCGAATAGTTCTTTGTTAAAACCAATAATGTTTGTCTATAGACCCTTGCCCCGTGAGTTCTCCTCTCAAAGGAACCCTGACTTAGTGATTTGCTACATGCTAAGTAGTAATTTTTCTGCAGTATCTGGGCAGGTGAATTTCTTTGCATATGGTCACATCTGCTCTTGAAAAGGCGTAGTCCTGATACAAAACAGAGAATCAACTGTAATTCACAGGCACTACTTACATTAACACAAGAAATGTACAAGCAGCATATCTGTGGCTCATTCATTGTTACTTATAATTGTTATTTACTCTTTGCTGCTTGGCAACAATCTGCCTTCTGTGTTGGACATCTTCCCCCCCCCCCCATGTTCTTGCCAAACTTCAGTATTCTTTATCCAATCAGAAGTGGCTTTTGCGAGAATTTGTTTGTCTTTGTCTTTTTCAGCAGAAGATGATGATGAACTGCCGGACGTGAAGAAAGACTCTGCGTTGCCCATTATCCCCAGCTACTTAGCTAACCCGCCTTTCCCTTATGTGTATAACTCCATGAGCAGCAGCACTACCAGCATCTCCTCTTCCTCTCCGAATGGAAGACTTTCCCCTTCTTCTGAACAGCACAATGAGGATTGCCTCGTGTCTTTACCTCAAGTCCAGGTGCCTGGCACTGCCATGTCGCAACGTGAAAAGTCTCCTCCTGTTGGGGACACACCTGGATCATCCCAGGCAGAATGCCCAGAGCCTGCAATACAGAACGGTCACCTTCCCCAAATGCCTGTTCCTCCAAGCAGGACTCTCTCCACTCCAGCTAAACCTAAACAGCCTGAAGCTCAGCAAAAAAATGGCTGTTGTGCTGCACCTGTCCCAGGATTTCAGCCCTTTTTCTTCACTGGAGCATTTCCCGTCAGTAGTATGCAAGGTAACCTCAACAGATATAAGATACAAACCTTCAAGTTATCCTAGCGTTTCCTCGGGTTACAGCGGTGAGAACAAATTGTCCTTTGGTATACCCTTCATCAGTGTTGGTCCTTTCCAGTGTTCCCTCTAAGCTGAGTTAGTGTGAGCTAGCTCACAGTTTTTTAGCCTCCAGCTCAGAGATTTTTGTCTTAACTCAGGAAGGATGGCTCCAGAGCAAACTAATTTATGCAGTAGTCAAATCGCTTGCTCACAACTTTATTGCCAGTAGCTCACAAAGGAGAACTTTTGCTCACAAGACTCCATAGCTTAGAGGGAACATAATTTTTTAGTTTCCTTTCTGATGTTCCAAATAGGCCAACCAAATACAGTGGTTCATAAGGGAAATTTAAAAGGTTTCTTGTTGATTGTGGAAATGCTTGTGCAGCAGTTCTCTTTTGTTTCCACAGTTGATGATAGCTGCCCTGGATATATAGGGGTTAATATCAATGGGCTGTGAACAGTTGTATCTATAGAAATAACTTGTCATGCAGTGTGGCATTTATTACTATCCCTTTGCTGAATTGCATTGATTCCTTTTGCTGGAAATGTTTTGGTAGAAATTCAGATGGTAAATTAATATTGCTTGTGGATAACTCCCCCCCCCCAAGTGATGCATGGGAGTCTTCACAGAAGCTGCCTGCATTGGACTCAAATATAGTAGCTATTCACTGCAGTTCTTGTTATAAGCATGGTAAGATGGACACCTGTAGGTTAGGACAGGATCAACCCTGTAATCAAGATTCATATTCCAGTTTTCTCACCTGTTGCTCCTGGGCAGTCTTGTAATCAAGCAGCAGCAGTCTACACTTTCGTCTGAAAGACATCATGCTCTTGCAGGTGGCCAGTGATAAGACTCCAAAAGCTGAGCTGTGGAAAAGGGTTCATTGACGAGGAGACACGTTTGCTGATACACTAAAGGCCAAGTTCCCTGGCAGCAGGAGGATGCCTTATGGCTGTGCCTTCCAGGGCAGCTTCTGGTCTGAACATGGGTCTCCCATAGCAAAGACTCTGCACGCTGGTGGGAAGGGCTTTTGGTCTGGAAATCTAACTATTGCTTTTTGTTTACGCCCTGCTTTTCAAGCCATTATCTACCAAAGTGCCTTCACACCAATAAAAAGAGAGGTGTCATTCTGTCAGGGTGACATACTAAAAAGACAAGACTCACAAGGGAAGGGAAGGGAATAACTGATGACCTTCCCCCCCTTGCTGGTGTTCTGGCTTAGGTGGAACTGGTGCATCCCTTACTCCTTTGGCTGGTGCCACATTTGGCTCCTGTGCAAGCATCACATTGAAATGAGAAAGAGAGCATAGCAAGAGGAATGGAGGCAACCATTTGCGATGTAATGACAATAAAATGACTACGTGCAGTCCTGCTCATTTTGTCCTTGGAAGTCACACTTCTGGGGCCAGCTGGCCATTTAACTTACAGGGGAGGTGATTGGTGGCTAGAAGCAAGCCAAGCCAAGTCCCAGCTGCTCTGTCAGTGCCTCTATGGCCACTTGGCTCAGACCCTTTATTGGTGATAGTAATGCCTGAGAGGCATGAATGTCTTTTTAAAAAATTGTTCATATTGTGGGGTGTTTTGTGTTTGTTTGTTTTTAACCTAGAACTGGTGCTAAAGGTCAGAATTCAGAACCGCACTCTTAAAGAGAATGACTTCATTGAAATTGAACTGGACCGACAAGAACTGACTTACAACGAACTGCTCCGAGTGAGCTGCTGTGAACTGGGGGTGAATCCAGAACATGTGGAGAAAATTAGGAAGCTTCCCAATACAGTATTAAGGAAGGTAAGAACCTTCAGTTTCTAAAAGATCTAGCTGTGCTTCAGGTTTTCATATCCTAAATTAGTTACTTATTTCTTAATGCAAGGCCTCTGCAAATTGTGATCCACCAACTGAAGGTAGTCCAGCTATGCACTGAGGCCTGCTAAGAGTTTAATAATTCTACCTACTTTTTGAGCAGGAGGGGAGGTCCCTTGGAAAGTAGCAAAAAAGGGAGGACTTTGACCTAACAGGCAAAATACATAGCTGATGGGCTACATTCAGCATAGCAGATCACAAGTGATATCAGGTCCCATCTTATGCATTAACATGTATATTGTTTGCTAACGTCCACTTACAGCACTGGCAAGAGTTGCATTTTAATAATAATCATTGGTTTAGAAAGCAAAAGCATACATCCAAGATTCTGTTAGTGACAAACACCCAAGTGTTTCTTGCCCAGAAATGGAACAGTTAAACTTGAAGTTAAGGATGTTATTTCCCACTCAGTGATCAATGCAGATTTTGAAGTTCATATTTGACACTGACATTTTGGTGCTAATGCTAAGTCAAATTGCAGATTTCACTGCCAGTAAAACTTTGTTATGTGTTAAACATCAATTTGTATAGTCAATTCAGGTGGTAATAAAAATCAGATTCTCTGATACATATGGCTGAAAGCCAGAAATTGGTTTCACAAATTCAGCAGAGTTTCCTTTTAAGTATATTACATTACGGTTCTATGGATGTTGCTCTTCATTGCTAAAAAATTGTACCACTGTGTTTTCATACTTCAGCTCCTGTAATGTCCAGTTAGATTGTTCACACAGCAGGGGATTTGAATGCACCGCTATACCTTATTCTTATGTTTATTAGCTTCTAAGACCAAAGGTCTTAAGCTCAATTATCAAACATGGATCTACAGCATTAGCCTCAAAATACGAACTTTACAATCAAAATTTACAGTCAAAATAATCAAATCTAAAAAATCTTCTACACTACCCATCAAACCAAATATTTTTCTGTTCAGTTCTGCAAGGTCTTAAAGGTTTTAAGCAAACTGGTTTTAAAAGATTTAAATTAGTAGATAGGTATTCTATCATGTTCTGGGGGGTCTGTCTGATTCATGGATTCAATAAGAATTAAATTACAGTCATATGAGGACATGATGTTCAACACGGCAGGGAATTAATTCTGGTGTCCATCTAATTGGACTCCATCTATTTCCCCGCTGAAAACACTCGGATGGGGGCCGGATGATGAGAAACTACCCTGGGGGAAAGCCATAGTGAGTTGCAGTGGAAGATGATCACCTCCACAATAATCCCCTACCTTAAACTCGCAGATCCACGGAAGCAGATTTGGTGAGGCTATCATGTAATCGACTACACTGGCTCCCTTGTATTTCAGACACGTATAATCACCAGCCGTATCCACTTTGCTGTACCTGTATGGGATCACTAGTCTGTGATCCAGTACACATTTAACTGTTTTCCAGAAAAGTTGATGCTATGGTCCCTAGACATTCTTTCAAATAAGTATGGGTATGAAAGCTCTTGAAGATGGCTGATATTTCCCTGCATAGAGAGCACATCATCATTTCGACCAATACGGGCATTAGAATCACCTGCAAGTATTAATGAAGCTCTGGGAAACTGATCTATAATTGTATCCAGAAAGGTTCCCAGATCATTTCAGAGTGCTATAATATCCCTCTGTATTGTCAGTGGGGGTAAGTAGAATGAAACAATTATAAGTGGGAGTGTTGAAAAGTATAAAAGCAGAGCTAATGCATACCGGCAAGATGCAATAAGGGAAACTTTAATAGATTTTAGTGCTGAAGAAACTAAGCACGCTAAACCAGATTTTGGCTGACCCATAGAGGAGCTAGTATGAGCATTTACCTCATATACATCAAAACCAGATAATTTAATAGCTCCCATGACGCAGGTTTCCTGGATCAAAATAATATGAACATTTGATAAAAATGATCTGGTCAGTGGATCTTTTAACCTACTACTCCATCCTGTAATATTCCAAGATAGAATTTTGATATGTGGGTTCATGTGAGCTGAAGAGCCATCTAGTCATGGAATAGGAGAAATGAGGTCTAAGGCATCCTCAGGGTTCAAACAAATACATCCGTTAGTCCTCCTTAGAGGGAGTTTCCTGACTTGCCCATTATTACATTGTCTTTTATATGAGTAATTTTCTACTTCCATAGGGCGTTGTTCTTGAGTAGATCTTGGAATAGATGTGTTGAAGGTTTTTGCTGTTATGGGAGCAAGAAAGGAATTTCCTGGGTCATCTGTCCTCTTGTTAGACGATGTTTTTAGCAGGCTATTTCTAAGCCTTTCTAATCTATCAAAAATCTTCTGCAGAGTTGTCTCTGGAAGGTTATCAAAAGATCTCAGTAGGGCATCCTCTTTTGAGCTGTCCAAACAAACCGAATCATTGGTCGAGGATTGGCTAATCCCAGGTTATCAGTTCCGAGGCATCCGCCAATGGGAATTGAGGCTCCTCACAAGTCAGTTTCACCCCAGAATCAGAGGCCTGATTTGCCAGAAAAACCTGGGGCGGGTTAGGAAAAAGGGGAGCGACTTCAGCATCAATAAAAACTCTTGTTGGTACAATCCCTTTTGGATACAATTAAAATTTCTGGGCAAGGAACAGGGAGGGAAAATTTGGACTGCCAAAAGAAAGCAGAACTCGTGCAGAGTGTTTAGATGAATTTAATAGTTCCACTTTAACAAGATCCATAGGACGTACTGTAGCTTTAAATAGAGACCTGATGTGACTGGCAACTAGTTGTTTTGTATTCCAAAGTGGCAATATTCCTCTGTAAGCGTAAATTGAGAGGCACACTTTACAGGACTGCAAAGATAGGCTAGAAGAATTTCCAGACACCCTTACAACCTGGTTCATGGATTGTGACTGAGTTGATTATGGATAAGCAGAGAGTGAATTGGAGGAAGCCACATCACGAGGAGGAGACTTTCTCAACATAGTTGCAGGAGGAACACCAAACTTAAGGCTCTTCGGCTTCATCAAATTTTGCAGTGTCTGTGTCAGCTCAGCAAGTGAGTTTTTCACCTCTTCTAATGAATCAAATATTTTGCCTACCGTTAAAGCTCAGGGTAATTGTGCATTGAAAGTTCTACCGGCTCTCTGAGAGGAAGAAGACGGTGATGTGTTCAACATAGCTGTGGAATTTGCTTCTTTGTTTCCCTCATCAAGGAGCTGCGGTGGCTCAAGTGGTTAAGATGCTGAACTGCAGGCTGTGGAAGGTCGGTAGTTCAGCAGTTCGAGACCCAGGGTGCCGCATGACAGAGTGAGCTCCCATCTCTAGTTCCAGCTCCTGCCAACCTAGCCGTTCGAAAGCAAGAAATTGCAAGTAGATAAATAGGTACCACTTCAGTGGGAAGGTAACAGTGTTCCGTGCGCCTCGGTGTTTAGTCATGCCGGCCACATGACCACGGAAACGTCTTCGGACAGCGCTGGCTCTTCGGCTTGAAACGGAGATGAGCACTGCAACCCTAGAGTCGGACTTGACTGGCTTTCGAGCAAGGGAAACCTTTACCTTTACCTTCCCTCATCAAGGTCAAGCTCAAGCAACAGAGAAAAGCGGTTAGCAACAGGAATGCTGTAGGAAACAGTGTTATCTGATAAGAGAAACTCCCCTATCTTTGTTTGTTTCATGGCCGGTTGTAAATCAACGTCTTCCGAGCGTTTACAGGCTCCCATAATTGGTGTTATAAGTCAGCTTGCAGTGAACTCTCCACTCCAACAGTCATTAAACAGTCATAAGCAACTGGAGGCAAATGAAGGCAGCAAACAGACACGAATAGAAGTTAAGGACTAAAATAGGTCACTTATCCAATAGCTTCAGAGCTCAGAGCTACGTTCTCACACCTCCTCCTCGCAGAGGCCGGCAGCGAACTCCTTACTAGCAGTCTTTAAGCAGCGGCTCTTGTAACGTCCAGTTAGATTGTTCACACAGCGGGGGATTTGAATGCACCGCTATACCTTGGCCCCGGTCACACGGGCCGGATATCGCGGGGGGGGGGAGGCGTGGCTGTTTGCCCCAGGGCAAAATAACACGCGGTTGCACCAGCAGATGTACCATGGAGGTCCCGTGGAAGGGGGGAGGTGCCGAGCACACCACAATCCTGCGCCACGGCAAAGAAGCGGCGCAGCAAACGGGTGATTTGTTTTCCGGACACCAAAGTGTGCACATGCCCCGTTGGGTGCTTGTGTGCATCCCATGGACAGTTGGAAAAAAAAAACACCTTTATACGAGGGGGCATGAGCGGGCGCCAGAACTACCACCGGAAACACGATCAGATGCCCACCCTTGCCCCACGGTTACCGGTTTTTAACAGCATTACACGGTTTTTAACAGTGTGTCTTCGGCGGGGAGCCTCGGGTTCGCCACGGGAGCTCTACACTTCCCAGATGTGGTGGTGAGATCAAGGCCGGAAAATCCGCCTATCTTCTGTCTCTCTAGCATGCCTAATGCTCCGTGTGACCGCAGCCCATGTAAACTTATATTGGATGCTACTTGCAGTGGGCAAAAAGGGCTAATCTAAAGAATTCCTGTTTTCCTTCTACAGTTGCAGTTTGACCCTGGTCATTGCTGATCTCAAATAAACTGGCCTACCCACGCAGATGAATAGGTACAGATTGGCAGGGACAGGACAGATATATTACTCCCCAAATGTGCATTATGAACTCCCTATTGGCTCCACACAATGCAGAGAAAGATGTACATTCCTATCCATTTGTTTGAAGTTCCAGGAATTCCTGCCCTCACATATTATTCAGGAGTACTATGCATGACTTTTCTCCCCACACTACTTACTACATGTTGCATGCAACTGTTTCTAGATCAGAACAAACAATGTACCTGAGAACTGAAACTGGGCTCAAAGGAACGCAATATAACTGTTGTTCATGCTCTGACATGGCTGTGTCCTACCTTTATGGAGCCTAAATCCGGCCTCAGCATTTTCTTTCTGACACCCATG